TTATAGATGATTTTTTTTTTTAATTATAACAAATATGATCAATCATCCGTGCTATTTATAATTATTATCATTCATACATTGATTTAATTTATGAGATATATCTTCTTCCTGCATTAAATCATCTCTGATGTAGCTAAATGATTGAAAAGAAAAAAAGTAAGAAGAAAAGAATGAATGATGAAGAAGAGGGAATAAAAGAATGAAGAAAAATAAATAAATAAATGAACAAATAAATAAACAAACAATATTATTTATACTATTTCTTAAGACTTATTTAAAGACCAAAAAAAAAAAAAAATACAATAATAATAAATCTTCAGAAACTTTTACATTTTGATTTTATACAACATATATTTTGTTCTGTGTTAACATATGAAATTGTGATAATTTTTCAAATATTTTAAAACAATAAATGTTATTTTGCTGACATAAAAAAGTGAAAGGAAAAAAGAGAAAAAAAAAAGCAAAATTCCCGACTTTTATTGAATGGATTAAATACGGGCTGATCTTTGATCGTTGATCCGACAACAGTTCAATTTTAAATAATTAAAGGCGGTTAATTTCAAAATGTAAAAATTTAAACGAAATTTATTGATTTGCACAAGAAAAAAAAAGGAAGAATAATCGGAAAATTATTTCATAAATAATCTTCATAAATAAGTAAATAAATCTATCCAAAAGGATAAAATAATTTTAAAGAAGGATTGAGAAAAAAAAAAATAAAAAGAAATAAGCTGAAGAAATAATATTTCATAATCGTATTGATGTTTGAAATGTTAAGCTTTATTTCATATTTCAAATTTATTTTATCGACTCCTTCGTTATCCTCGTACATTTTAGTACTTTGATCCATACAATTTATTAAAATATAAATTGAGAACATTGAAATACCCTTTTTCTGATATTGACAAGGACATTTTAAGACATCCTACATACATTTAATCGATTGATAAATTGGAATTTATCAAGTAAGCCAAAAAAAATAAATAAATCGATAACAAATGCTTGTGTTATGATTGAATTTTTAATTTGAAGATGCTCGAAAAGACTATTATGCAAGAATTTTGCCTCATTTCATTTTTTCCTAATAAGCATTTACTTGGACGATTCAAATGAATATTTTTAAATTTTGAATTTTAATTTAAATTACTGATAAATATTTCTCGTAACAACACATATGCAAAAGTTCAAAAATAGGCATTAATAAATTAATTATTGAATTAGTTACAAAATTGAAAAAAAAAAGAAAAAGAAAAAGAAAACCAATTATATGAAGGAATTACCACTGTTCGTTCATATGTTTGCAAATTTTCATCGAATCCACATTCAGTCTTAAAATGAAAAAATAAAGCATAAAATAGTAAAATTAAATTATCTAACCAAATTTTATTAAATGTCAAATTTTTTTATTCAAAAATATAAAATATATTTTGAATGCATCTTTAAGATAATTAATTTATTTTTTCATTTATATATATATATTCTAGTTAATAATTTATTATACGATTTGTGGACTTATTTTAAAAACATTTGTAATAATTTATAGAGCAAAAAAAAAAAGATTTCTAATTCATCCGGAAAAATACTTGTATCTGAAAAAAGTTATGAGCATTATTTTTGCATCATAGACTTTAAATCTACGCACTCTTTTCGTAATTATTTAATGCAAACATAACCACCAACAATTGTCACCACTCATGAATAATGATGTATTTTAAACGTAAGCTTGTTTGATATAAATAAAAAAAAGAATAGATTTCTAGGCTTTAACTACTTTTAATTATCAGTTAAGTCATTGAGTGTTTTGTAAATGATATTTCATTCAACTGAACTGATAATTGAAGATATTATTAGTTAAGTCTATTTTTTTGAGATATTCCAGAAAATAATCAGTTGTTAATCAGTAAATAATTCTTAAGCGTTTCATTTCTATCGCATTATGAACCTGGAACCTTCCAATATACATATATGCTTATCCGGAATAATTAGTAATTTCCGGTTTTATAACAAATTGGTTACAATGTTAGGCTGAATGTAAAAAAAGACAAATGCTTAGCTACTTTTTAGCCAAAAAAAAAAGTAAATGTGATTAACTAGCTAGGCAAAATAGAAAGTGACTTATAATGTGAATGTTTGTAAGACCAGAGATATTGAAGAAAGGAGAGATACTACATGTTAGTTGTACTGAAACTCGAAATATATATCACTTCTAATAAGTAAGAATTTTTTTCCTTATCAAATCTCTATTAATACCAGTAAATTATATGAATAGAAAAAGGAAAGGAAAAAAAGTAAAAGGAGAAAAAAATAAATGAATTAATTATAAATGACATTGAGAAAGTCCTAAGAAGTCTCGAGAAAATTCTTGAATATTAAAGTAATAGTTCTCAACTGGTGATTGGCGAGAGAACTAAAATAGGTTTATGAGAGCTATTAAAAATTATATTCCTTCTTTTGTATATTATATTGTTACTCCAAGTTTAACTAATATATCGAAAATTTCGATTAAAGTTTATTTCTAAATGAACAAAATTTATTATTTTTGATGTCCATGCTACAAATAGAAAAGCTAAAATAGCCATTGGTCAAGAAAAGGATGAGAACCATTGCCCATTAGAATATATAAAAAATTTTTCATATAATATACATCGTACGTATCTAAGAAATACACTCATTAAAATGAGTTGTATTTCAATAGAATATAAACATAATAGTCACTGTTAATTATTAAGTGAAGTGTTTGGAAAAGAAAAGTTCATTTTATAAAAGTGTAAACTATCGACCATTGGCTTTTTAAGTGTTACTTACGCTAAGCAATTTTTCGCTTTTTATATTTTTCATTATCATTTATCATCTAACAATGATATAAGATAAAGTGATTAAATTTATAATAAGTATTTTGAAATTTTTTGAAATTTAAACATAACTTATAAGGAAAAACTCGTTTAAAAAAAACTTTTTCTTCAACAATGAAATAACAAAAAAGAATGAAAAAATATCCCTGAAAATACAGAAATTAATATGCAAATTTTGATATATAAATACTTAAAATTTAGCCATTGCTCCTTTGTGACAATAATAAATTCTCATTTTCTATCACTATTTCTATCACTATTTTTTTTCACTATCACTTATCACCTAACAATGATACATAACATCTGGTACTTGGAATAGGCAGATACATACTCGCTGCAACAGTATTTACAACAAGTCACCCATGTCAACTTAATGAAGTGTGACAAATATCTTACAGTAGGCAAATATATTCAAAAGAATTTTTCACTCCCATGCATTTTTCTGACATTGATATAAATTGCAAAATGTTAAACATTGTATGTAAATCGCAACTATATATTATATATATATATATACATGTATGTAATACATATGTACACACAGGCACACATGTACACACACACACATATATATACATATATAAACACACACACACACATACACACACAAATACATATACAAACATACACACATATATGCAGAAACAGGTAACACACACATACAAACAAAATTTAGTGAGAACACTGGGGAAATGTTTACACTTCTATTCATCAAGCATTAGTTAACGTCACTCTTCTCCACGGAGACTCGTTGTCGTAGAGAAGAGGCTTACGTGACCTTATGAGACCTTACGTGATCTTAGAGCTATGCTGGCGGTGGTAATTGCTACCGGTAGGGCCTCCCATGTCAGACAAGTCTTACTGAAGTGCCAGACAAAATATGTTCACGGAAAGGATAGGCTCGTTAGTCTTCGAGAGAGGGGCAACTCTGATCCCCAATCCTGGCAGATGGGACTCGTTTAGGCTTGTAAAGCCGTCCATCTGAAAGAAGGATACCCTAACTAAACTTACGTCCTAAGGATTTCGTTGCTACCGCCCAAGCTTGCTAGGCTACGGCAGATGAACCTTAAGAATAAAGGGTGGGATCAGTTTCGAGCACGCTGTGTTTCACTTAAAAAATTCATTGCGCAGGCTCGAAAGATATACCCACTTTTTAAAGTCCTGTAACGACAGGCAAGGGACGAAACGGCAAATGACAGATACTCTGAAGGCATAGTTACGTTGGGCTGGACACGGTTCCAAGATGGAGGATCATAGCCTTCCTAAGATTGTACCCTATAATATATTGGCCATTGGCTTCTCTAAAGGGAAGATATAAGGACGCCCTGAAACAATACCGCAGCCTTGGTCCTATCATTAGTGATCCATTTTGGCTTCCAATTGGGAACCATAATCCATAATATCCATAATGCTGCTAACATTATCATCCATAACGCTGCTAATTCCTTCGAGAAATATGCAGAACCAGCCTCGAGAAGAAGTTATCAAAACCGTTTAAACAAACCTTCCATTGTGCCTTTTGTATCCGAACCTACCTATCCACACTGGCTCCTTCACTATATCTTCATTCGCGAAGCCTAGCTACTACGACGAATTTACGTCACTACTGATCCGTAATGAATTATCACTAGTATTATTCATTGATCCGTAATAAATTATCACTAGTGTCATTCTATATTCATATTACTATCAAATGCATCATATAAGCATTTTTTGCTACCACTTTTTCAAACTTAATTAAACGATTATTCTAGCGGTAAAAATTACCTGCTACAAAAAGAAAAAAAAAAGATTCATCAAATAATCATCGTCGACCTACCAGAATTTTTAATCTTTTGGGGAATACCAAAGAATCATTCACAACTGACTATCAAAATGCAGTAAATAGTAACTGAATACATTTCACTAAGTTTATTTTTAATTAGCGAAATATTTAACCCAAGTAATAATAACATCCTCTCCCAGTAAAATTAACATACAGCAACTAATTAATCTCAAACTATGATAAGGAGCAATTTTCAAAATTAGATAAAAAGCTGATAGAGTGAAGGAAAAGAAAAAGCACAGGAGAAATTAGAATCATTTTTATTAAAATTATTTGTTTTATATAAGTTCATTTTTTCTTTTTTTAAAGATGGAATAAAATTAGAAGCATACCATTAAATTAGCTTTTCGAATCAGTCGTCGTATTGGGAAAGCCATACAACCAAGCATTTGCTTCCGCCTGTTAAAAAAAAAAAAGTTAAAAAAGAAGGAACAATAAATATAAATGAGCGAAAAAATGGCAAAATTTAATAATGCATAAATTCAGTTGAAACTATAATTCTATTAGGACAAATACATTAATATATTGAATTTTGCTAGTACTAATATATATTCAGTGATAATTTCATTACCGAATAAATTGAAGAAATGATTAAACACTTTGAAAAAATGGATTTTTCTTTTTTTCAAAAATTAATATACTATGATCTTTTTTTTTTTTTCAAAAAATTAATGTGCTATGACTACTGTGATCGGAATTATCACAATACATATCGCATAGATAATTCGAACACAGGTATGTTATATATATTCATTAATATTATTGATATTTTTAAAAAACCAGCTAATAAATTATCAGCCAATTCGAATCAATGATAATCTAAATCTAAACCCAACTACCAATTGAACTAATCGAAATTATTCAATGGTTAGAATAAAGTGAACCACATTAACTCATAGGAATTGTGATGAATTTACATCGTTAAATTGAATTACATATGTTGCATAGTAATGTAACGGAGCAACAATTCTTGGACAAATAGAGCAAAATATTTAAAGTTTACTTAATTTTAATGATAACTTAAAAATAAATATATGTAGGAATAAAAATAAGACAGCAAATAACTTACGCAGAATTACCCGCATTAGTAATCCATACGCTAACGCTCAATAAATCGTGATGACGATAATGATTTCGTCGTAACTCACTGCAATGTATTGCTAATGCATGCAAACAAGGTCACAATTGATTTTCAAATTTGAAATTTCAAATAAGCATTTATCATCATCTCCAAATTATTTACTTATATCATTAGTCATCTTTATCATTTGAAAAGTATGCCATACACTTCTGAAAGTGAATTGACAATTACGTCTCCAAGAGTAATTTGAAATAAGATGCAGTCATCGAGATTGTCGATGCCTTTTAATCGCATATTTTATGAATTATGTTTGAATACTTACAATGTAAAGTTCTCATGAAATTGAGGACGATTGCTGAGAAGTACGAGGCGAGTACGGAAGCTTTTCTCCTTATCATAATGACTAAAACGATCCTCCGAATATGATCGCATCCGTTTATTGTACAATGGGTTTGGCCTTATTTCAACCTGAATTAAAATGATGTTCAAAGGTTAGAAATTTGTTAAAAAGGGTTGCAATTAGGAGGATTTTAATTCTTGTCCTCAGATAAAATGTATGAAAATTTACCATGATCATATAAGCTATCTTCCCATCTCTACAAAATGCTTTCATCTGATCAATCTATGCAAATCAGAAATGAAAAAAATGAACAATGTGCATGAATGGGTGCAGAAATAAAAACTGTAACATTTAAAAATTGGGATACAAATAACTGCTGAAAAAGTTATAACACAAAAAGATGTTTTAAATCAAAAATAAATGTGTTAGAAATCTAAAGCAAGTGATAAATTAAAAGGACTACAGGACAACATTCAATGAAGTTGAAAGATGCGGGAATATGTTAATTAACAGAAAAGGCCAATATATGGCTAAATGAATCAGTTTTGTTTAACATCTGAGAAAAAGGCTGCAAAAAAGGAGACAAGGGAAGAGAAGGAAAAAGAGAGGAAGAAACAATGAAAAAGAATACAAGAGAATGAACAAAAATCGTGAATACTATAGGTATTTAAGTTAAAATATTCTGATAAATAATTTTCGAAAAGATGAAACTCACCCGAACATATGAAGAGGCTTGCGCAATAGCGGGATCCAGAAAATATACTGCTCGTACAACACTAACAGTTAAATAACATCCAGAAATGGACATCGTCAATTCTAGTTTACCTTTGCATCCAATTCGACGAGCAAATGGTGTTGGTAGTCCGAAATGATCTGGTTTCCAGTTTATGTTCGACAAGCAGCCACTAGAAATAATCTCTGATTGCGGTCGACCCCAATCTTTTCGAGGAGTTTGCTAAAATTATGATTATTTCCACATCCGAAATTTAAAAAGTTTATTGAAGTCAACAATTACAAAATCTAAATAGACTATCAGACTATTCGATCATTCCACTGAATACATTGGAAGCACTCGTTTCCATTTTTTTACAATTTTTCCTAGGATACATTCTCTTATAATCCATATTTTTTCCATATCAACAAAAACATGTAAATAGTTTCGAAGAATAGCAAGACGTATTTAATGAAATTACAATAATGCCAACAATAAAAGTTATGTGTTGACAGAAAATCTAAAATAACAATAAAAAAGGATAGATCGACTGAAGATTTCAAATTGTCATCCTAAACTTTTCGAAATCCTTCAGCAATTGTTAAATTAGATCATCATGCGATGATATGCTTCATAATATTGGTCTGATGATACTGCTTAAAATATCTGACTAGTTCGTTTTGTGAACTCAAGTTCCAAGTTAAATTTAGGGGGATTTAATGTTTGGAACAATTACCTCTTCGAAAAAACTTGCAGGTCTCTCTAAAGTATCATACATAATATTATTAAACGCGCTAAGAACAGAACTTCGACCACGTCCACTTGATGATATTGATGTTGCAGGAGTTGATGTTGAAATAGTCTGAAAATACCAAATTGTAAATTCTTTTCTTTTTTTGGAATTTTATAGCAAACATCGTTTTTTTAATCGCATAATACATTTACCTTCAAATGATGAGGATTTGTTTTTGGTAAGCCAATAGAAGTTGTTGTTGATGTAGCTAATGGATGCCAATTTCTGGTTAATTGCAGTGAGGGTACTTTCGGGATATCGTCAGATGAATCATTGATTGGTGATAGTTCCTAAAAATTGCCATCAATTTACATTTGAAATTATACTATTTTAAAGTTATATGATACAATTAAAATAGAATTAAGCTGGCATAGCAAAAAGAATTTCTTTTTTTTTCGCTTTTTGTTGCATATTTTAAAATATAAGTGCATATTCCTTATCTCTTCCGCGTCAGACGGTTTGATTACATTAAATATTCATGAGACATCCCATTTACCTCAATCATGCTCAAACCTCGAAGTAACGAGGGAGGAGGGGAGCGATGTCGCCGATCGCTAAATTCCGAATCATCATCTTCATTTGTTGTTTCTGTTTCATAGGATGATGAATGATCAATTGGTGTTATCATCGGTAGTGATCCATAACGCGTCCGTGCACGAGCTCCAATTCCACATGGCACTTGGCTTCTTCGTGTTCTAAAATGATTTTGGAAGCTGAAATATATCCAGGTAAAAGTGAAAAATTAAAACGAATCGTTCTGAATTAATCTAAAGTGACTGCGAATGTGAAAATAAAAAAAATAAAAAAGATATTCATGATAAAAATGAGTAAAGTTTACCATCTAAAATTCTTTGGAAACCAAATTTGTTGAAATTGAGGAGATATTTATAAGGAAAAAAAAAAGATGAACCTTCTCATTGTAGGCTTATTTATCCAATTGCGGTTAGCGCCTCGAGCGACCGGTATTGGTTGGCAAAAGTCACTATCAGAAGTTAGATCAGAGACACTCTCCATTGCCATATCTCAAGTTTTAATCTTTATTACAACAAAAATTCATGACTAATACTGATTTTGGTTGATGCATCCAAATTCAATTGATATTAATTTTTTTTTTTTTTTTTTTTGCCCAAAGATTACTTATCGACATTTATTTATTTGACCTTGGGCTAACTCGCCTAATCGAAATAGTAGAAATCTTATCAATTAGACCGACAAATGCGGCTTCTCCTTAAAAATTTCCGTGGGGGTCATGCAAAATAGTACATGAATTTAAATGAAAATTGTTTGATGAATTTGAAACTTTTCTGGACATTTAAAAAAATGCATTCTTTTTATCCTAAAAAAAATCCCTATCAGCAATCTTTCTCAGATAACTTTTAAAATATTTCAAAGGAAATATGAAATAAACAATGATTTTTTAATTTGATTTCAATTAAATGGAAATTCGAATAATTCATTAAAATCCCTCATGCTAACATCATTTTTTTTTTTTTTTTTTT